ACCTAAACAGGATTTAAGAGTTTCTGTGGCTCTAACGTCAGTTTTATTCTTACTTCTAGGTAAAAGACTATTCGGGTTTTTTTTTCCTTCCGCATGACTCGTGAAGTTTGCTTTGGAAAAACTTAGTGTACTGTCATGCTTTTGGAGAGAAAGCAATATGGGACACCAGATCCCCAGAAAGGTTTGAGCACTTTAAGAATCAGAGAAAAGGAATTTCTGACAGTTCTGAAACTTAAATATTAAGAATTATTGCAAATGACAAGTGATGCCTGCATATCCAATAAAGTAGTGTGGTTAAGCCCAAGATAACTAGTTCCCACAGCTAAAAAAACAGTTCTTGAATTTCTTGAGTTCAGTTAACAAGTAAAACAAAAAAAAATACAAAACACAAAACCCTATCTTAACAGCAGGCTTAGCCGCCAGGATAGCCAATCAGCCTCTTAAGAGTAAACATACCACAGATATTTCACTGTGGCGTAGGCTCACGTGACTTCTGCTCTTCCCTGCTACTTGTTTTATGCATATACCCTGTAGGAAAAAAAAAGAAAGAAATGGCACCTGCTCTCCTCTTGCCTATGCTTGGTGATCCTGAGGGAACAAAAAAAGCATAACGTTTTCAGTGTAGTCATCCTAGGCAAGCTAGAGACAATTTTGTGGGAGCAAGGAGAAATCAAAATGAAGGAGGAAAGGAACTGACTTCACTTTAAGCAGGCATGAGGATGAACGGGCTTCATATGTTTCTTAGGCTATCCTCCTGGTTGTTTTGCAGCACGTTTTGTCAAAGCTCGCAGTGAATGGGATAGCCCACGATGAGTTGCACGCTGTCTTGTGTGGGCTTCCCAGAGCAAAGCCACCCAGCCAGAAAGTAGGCCCTGGCTGCTGACAAAGTCACTTGAGTCAAACTCATTACAGTGGCTGGCAATAAATGCAGTGAAGCTACTTGCATTGAACTTTCATCTTCCCTTTGTATTTACAACCCAAAAGTAACAACGCACTACAGAGTCAAAAAGCAACCTTGTCATTTTTTCTACTCTTAATCATGTGTTAATGTTGCTGTTCTGGTTCTCATGGGAGACCTCAACCGCCCTGACCTCTGCTGGGAAGAGAGCACAGCTAGACATAAATAGTCGAGGAGGTTCCTGCAGAGCATTGATGATAACTTCTTGACTCAGGTGGTGGAGACACCAGCGAGGAGAGGTGCAATGCTAGACCTTGTACTAACAAACAAAGACGGTCTAGTTGGAGAGGTGAGGGTTGGGGGCAGCCTTGGCTGCAGTGACCATGAGATGGAGGAGTTCAGGATCCTGCGAGGAGGGAGCAGGGCAATGAGTAGGATTGCAACACTGGACTTCAGGAGAGCTGACTTTGGCCTCTTGAGGGACCTACTTAGGGGAATCTCCTGGGGTAGGGCCCTAGAAGGAAGAGGGGTCCAAGAAAGCTGGTTAATATTCAAGC